GTGTGTGTGTGTGTGTAAGCAGTAAATTTCCCCGCAGGCAGCTGCATTTGGCAGTTTGTAGCTGCACGTGTGTGTGCGCTTGCATATGTGTGTTTTTGGAAAGGGAACAGACAAAAGGAAGAGAGGCACGAGAGTGACCGAGACACGGGCCGAGAAAGAGATGCACATCGTATGCAGAAAGAGGAGCAGGTAGTTTCATCATCCCATGGGTTTGCTGCGGTCGCATTAGCTTTGAGTCCTTTGGTTCTTACAAATGTACCCATGTGTCTGCACAAACTTGGCATGTATCCCTGCGTCTGTTCTAAAGAATGATTTTAAGGATAAAAAAACCCACTGTGAACCCTTTATGTTGTAGTTAGCATGTGTTTTGTGTGTGTGTTTGTAATATGGGAACGATTATGGATTAGACTTTCGCACAACTGGAGGTTGAACCCCCTCTATATACAAACATCTGCCCTACTGAACTGTTCTTGAGCAAAACCACGAATCCCTGCAGGTCCCAGGGTCACTGCCCTGCAGCTGTGCCTGGCCTTTGACCCTATGACGGAGGCCGCAGGAAAAAAACAGAAACTTGTTTATGTGTCAAACGCAAACAAAAGATGTTCAGGTTGCTAGTTGTTGTGATAGTTGTTATAGAACATCACGCCTTTCATTGTATAGGTAATGTGAAATGGATACATATTCACCACTCAAATTTAGAGTTTGTTAGCAGTGGTGGACATGTACTCAAGTACAGATTTGAGGTACTTGTACGTTACATAAGTATTTCTATTTCATGCTACTTCTACTGTGGAATAAGTACTTTTTACTCGTCAATATTTATTTCATTTTTTTAGTACTGATTTACACACAAAACACAAGCTTATGATATATTAAACTACCCAGCAGTATACATTTTTTTTAATTATTAGCTCCATTTTGACCAGCTACATCAGTAAAACTCTACTTAAATGTTGAGTAATATGATGTGTAATAGTAGGGCCATTTTTATGAAATATGAGTACATTACATTTTCATCTGTACGCACATTTTTTTTTAATTCAGGAGTATTTTCATATTGAAGTATTATACTTTTGCTGAAGTAAGCTGAATCTTATGACAAACTAGACATTTCTGCCTAGAAGTTGCAGAGGACTGTAAGCAGGTATGTGGATACATCTGCCCTGACTCCTCGACACGCTCAGATGAAGGTTTTTTTGTCTTTTTAACTAGAGGGTGATCAATTTTTAAGTGGCTGTCATTTCTAAAAATGGATATATGGCGTTTTGGCATGAGCCGCTTCCAGGGGATTAGCTCAGACCTCATCAGCCGACCGCAGCTGGTTTCCCTGCAGGAGAGAGCTGGCTGGTTCGCCTGCTGTAGTCTGGCACCGTTGGCAATAGAAAGTGAGGTTGCTGTTAATCCAGAGAGGAGCTGCCGACTTTCTCAGGCATTGCTCCCTGTTGCATGGCTATTGCACATATCCTCTCGGGACAAGTCCTCGCTCGCTCTCTCTCTCTCTCTCTCTCTCTCTCTCTCTCTCTCTCTCTCTCTC